ACTTATGCTTCCACAGCTTAGAATTATGTGGCTTCTCTATTAGACTTATCCTTTTGTCTCCCTCAGCATATTGAAGATTTTATTTCAGAAGGTTTCGGTGGAAAAGCTCTCAAAGGAAAAGCTTTTATCATGTGGAATTGTGCTGCTAGGGCGGTCCTTGGCTTCTTTGGAAAAAAAGGAATAGTCGAATTTTTTAGGATAAAGTTATCTTGATAGATTATTTTTTTTGTGAATATCAAGCATACGGCTTCTTGGTGGGCTTCCACACACAAAAAGGCTTTTTGTAATTACAGTCTTTTTTTCTTATTATGCAAGATTGGAAAGCTGTGGTTGTATAGTCCTTTGGGGAGGGTTATCTCCACCCTCCGCTTTTAGGTTGTTTAGCCCTGTTTTTTGGGTGTTTTCTCTAATATACCTCTTTTGTCTCTTATAAAAAAAAAAAAATGTATGCTCCTTGTTTTTCCCAGGGAAAAAACCTTCAAGAAGTCCCATGAATAACATGTTCAATCAACATACTCAACGTATTGCCAACCAAGACAAATAGAAAAGAAGTGGATCTCCTTCTCTTGAGCCCCTAGTAGCCCCTAGTAGCCCTTATACGCCCTCTTAGCCTTCAATTATGAAAAGCTAAAAATCTCCCTCCATAAATGCATCCTTTATCCACCTTATCCATCTTATTCCAAAGCCTTTCCTTTCCAACATCATTAACAAGACTTCTCCAATCAACCATATCACAAGCTTAGGCAGATTTAATTAGCTATCAATTTGTTTCAAATTTCTATAATCCTCTGCAACCACACTGGCAACGAGTATAGGATAAATTATTTGTCTCCCTTCAATTCATGCAATACCTCCAATATGTTATTTTTTAAAATATTCCCAAATTCTTTTAGAAATTCCTCAGTGAAACCATGCAGCCCCAGAGCCTTAGAACCCCCTCCCTAAATACTTCAACGCTAGCACAATTTTGTTGTCTTAAAATGGTCTCTCTCAACGCAACTACAAGCCCCAATTGAATGGGTTGCCAATTTTTAACCAACCCTCAAACAAATTTTACCTCACTGTTTATGGTAAAGCTTGCTGAAAATTTTGAAACTTTTCTCTTCAATGTCTTTATCTTCATGAGGATAAAAATCTCAAAACAGCATGCTAACATATTAGAACATTATAGCTTACAAGTTATTGAACATTACAATATCTTAGAACCCTTAGGTTAGAATCTAGATGTCTAACATGGAAAAAGTTTATTGATAAAATAAGATAAATTCCTCATTTAGCATGCCCCACTGAGTTGGCTTAAAAGTGTTAAAAGTCGTAAGAAATTCAAATCATCATAATGGATTATTACTTCATAATGCATTAATACTTGCGACTGGATTAAGATAACTAGAAAAAACTTGGAAATTTATCTTTCTCCTAGGCGGCTGCTCTACAAAAATAGCAGTGAGGACTTAAATCAAGTTTTTCTACAGCCGCTGATGGCTCTTATCAGAGTTCAATGGTGATGCAGCCATCTTCATAAGGACAAAGATAAACACCTAGTTTTATGGTGGATTGCAGTTAACTCACTCCTGTCAAAAAGTAACAATAGAACTTTTTGAAGGGCAGATAATATCTTTGATTTTTTGGAGCACATATGTTTTGTAGCCTGCTCATGGAGCCTCTCGTTTACAAATGGCCCCTCAAAATCAATGCTAACTAAAGAGTGTTCTGTAATCTTCTTTGACCCTTGGTAGGGAAAATTTCTAATCTTCCTTCCCTCATTTGTATATGTTCCCTCTCTTTAATGAAAGGTTTTAGTTTCATATCCATGCACACGAAGGATGAAAAAAGAGAGACAAAAGAAGGAGAGTGCACATAAAGAACTAAACAATGTGCATAAGAAATATGGAAACTTATAAGCTTTTTTTTTTCTTTTGATATCCGTGTGTCCGGACCAGCTTACGCAGGCCTCGACTATTCACGAGCCAACTGCTTGACCCTACTACATTTGGTTGACAAGGAAACTCGTCGGATATTAAATCCTAGATAGGTGGCCACCATGGTTTGAACTCATTCCCTCTAAGTCTTTTGCTATTTACATTGACCCTCATTGACCACTTGGGTCATCCCATGATGGTTGGAAACTTATAGCTCAAAAATTAAAACATAAAACCAACTATTAATATGACAGACAAGAATAAATAAGAGAAGCGAGGAATTATATCTTACTGAAGGCTCCAAAAATGCTGTAACGCCTGTCTCTCCATTTATCAGAGCCAGAAGGAAAGAAACAACTGCTGCAACAATTAATATCTTTACTAGTAAATCATCAAACTGCTTCAAAACCAATTTCCAAAATGGGGCCCCTGAATTCATGACAAACAATTAAACTTCTGCATACAAGGAAGAAAACTTACTTTTCATAATAAGCACACATTAGAAGAGAAATAAAATTGCTGAAGTACTAACGATGTCAAATTTCTTCATAATTTCTTCCATTACCAAATTACATGGGTTTCTCCGTTCTATACACAATTAACCACCAATGTTCTCAACTATCAAGGTTGCTAGGGGGAGCCTCTGTCCTTTCATTCAAAAATATGGGGCTACAACACCCTTCTTACAAAAGGTTTCTCTTTGGTGGTCTAGTAGGGTAGATGGTAGGCTTTAAATTCATAAAGAGGTACATCTCTATCTTGAGAGAATAGGATTCTATCATCTTCATTATATTAAAAAGGAGGAAACGTCAATAGGGATGGCGGTCCTAGATGCATGGAAGAAAAAAGTCATTAGTGAAGTTTCAAGAGAAAGGTGGATTAGGCTTTAGGGTGATTTTTTCTTTCTTCTTTCTCCATTTTTTCCTCAAAAAAAAAGAACTTTTCATTAGAATTGAGAAAAGTAAACATCAAAGTACAAATAACTCAAATTTGGAGTGTATGTATGATAAAAACAGTCCCCAAAGGGTACCGATAATAAACAAAAAGATCAAAACCCAAACATCTATCCAGCTATAACAACAAGACTGGAATGGAAGAATAACATGAAGCCATTGAACTCTTTCCATTCAGGGGAAGACATTCAATCACCAAAGGAGAAAACTAGCTGGAGATAGAAATCAACATTATAAAACAAATAAAAGAGGGAGACTACACACTTCCTCTTTATAATAGCTAATTTTAGGAGGTACAAAAACTTGATTAACTCCCATGTTACCAAGAATGGAGAAATTTTTTCAAGAGATGACATTGAGAGAAAGGTGGTTCCTCCTCATCTTTATGCACAGCCCTCATTGATGATTTTGATTGATCCAAGTCCTTATACACCTTCCTACTCGTTCTTTTCATCCTCATTGATGGGAAGTCCTCTAATACCGTAGAAAATCAAGAGATTGGTGCTTGGTATTGAGGGGCTAGGGGTGTCTAGTCCTGATGGTTTCACTTTTACTTTCTTCTAGGGTAGTTGCGAGGTCATGAGGTGGGATTTGCTCAAGGTCTTTAATACATTGTACTCTTCTTCTATTCTTCTTCTTAAGACTGAGTGCCTAGGTAACCATGACATATGTTCATGGCAACTAAAATGCGCAAATGGCGAGCTCCTTAGTGAAGGTGCTCGCCTAAGGCTACAACTCAGGCGAGGGGCATATGCCTCGCATCACCCCTTGATGCCTGAATATGCCTTAAAAACACTGCGCTGTACACTCGAGAGATACCTCTGTTAGAAAAAAAAAAAAGAAAAAGAAAACATTGCTTAAATTTCCTCAAAATAATGACAAATAAATATCATTTCAGACAAAAGGTGAAAGAAATGCAAAGTAAAAGTGTGTAGATAAAGGGGCAAATAAGTCCAATACTTACTTTTCTCCTCAGGTAGCACTGGAAACGATGATGTATCATGCAATTCAAGAGAAAAAACATTAGAGAAAGCATAAATAGATTGTAATGTGTTACTTCACACTTAATAGATAATGATAAATAAGCGGATAATTGAAAGTAAACCAAGCAAGAGAACACCAATAGATTATCATCACATTAAATATCCAACCTTTTTTTTTTCAAGGGGATGCAACCTCACATGCATATACACGAAATTTTTATTTTTAAAAAAGCAATTGCATGTCATTAAAAACCTGTTTGGATAGTTTTCCACGTGATATAATCTTCAAACTTAGGACGCGTAAAACAAACAGAACCTTCATCTGGATTCCATTGCTGGACAGTCAAAGATCACTATAAATCAGACTAAATCTATACGCCTCAAGAGAAGACAATTTTCTTATCTTCTTCAAGATTAAATTTGAATAGAGAAATCCCACGTTCATAAATAGAATGCACTATGCAGAATGATAAAAACCGCCTTACGGCACTAGAAGTTTCCAGGACTCAGACTAACAACAGTCAGGTGGCAGAGTACTCATTTTAGTTCTCTTTACCTCACTCCACCGATAGAACTGTCCATCAAAACAAAACAATACTCGATACAGCAAACATTTTGTCTTCACTATTCACCAAGTAAACTACCAGTGGTACGAAAAAACGTGCATATTCGATAGCTATCAACCCAGTTTTATAAGTAAACTGCTTTGGTGTGAAAAATAGAAAGAGGAACGAATTATGAAGTACAAAAACTCACGGTCTAGAGTCAGAAAACTTACAGTTTTTACCGTAAATTTTAGCATGATGCAAAACCTGAAATAATAAAAAAGTTCATGAATTTTTGCACAAAATTAAACCACCACAGAATCCCCAGCAGCTTAAATTATTAAATTGAATGAGCATTAACCAATATTCTAGCAGGACCCATAGAATTCCCCGCACCTGATCGTCTGTGAGACCTCGTGATGGGTCAACCCCAAAAAAATCCAAGACCTGTTTACAACATAACGAATGTAAAAATGCACTAGCAGTTTACATAGGTCAAGAAGGAACTGCAATATAATTGTCCAATGGAGAGAGCACTAAATTGGAATCAACAAGCGATTTATAGACATAGGTCAATAAAATATCAAATGGGTCTTATTCCATAATTCGAATAAAACCGTCCAGCTTTCTTCCATTGCTCCGAAGCAGTATTGTACACCTGAATCGTAGAGTTTGATGGAAACTCGCATGCAAGGAAGCGTGAGAGAAGCAAGCAAAGTCAAAGAGCAATGCGAACCTCAGTGACAGATCTGGCGTGCGCGTCCTCCATTTCCCAATAGCTGGGTTCACTGAAAGCGAGAGTGGAGTTGCACCCACCTACAGGCTACAGCTTCCAAATTCTGTTTGCAGCCAGAGAGTTTAGATCCGAAGAACAGAAAAATGAATCAAGTAAATTGTTGGTTTCGTAAACATAAAGTAACGAATGCCATCAATACGCGCCTTCCATATTTCCCGCTGGCCCAAAATAATCCATAACTGCTGCAATTTTAGCCCAATTCCTGTATTTTGCGGTCCATACCTTACATTGCAAAAATTTTCCCTTTTTTTTCCCTTCTATTATTCGAAATTTAATTATTTCGGAGAAAAGCACCATTTTAGTCATGAGTATTCAGCATAGGTTATTTTGGTACCTACATTTAAAATCGTGCATTTTTTACGCTAAGTTTTAAAAAATAGGTTTAAATGATTCATCCACTAATAAATCTGTTAAGTCGAAAAAATGGTTGGTAAAAATCGCTTGTGTTTTTTTAATCTTTTAACATTTTTTAGCATAAACGAAAATTCAACACATTATAAACATTAATTGATTCAAATAACTTAACAAAGTTTTGGAAATGAGTTGTTTTAATATACTTGGATGGATAGAGTTATTAGACGGCCATTACTGTGATAAGGATTCATCTTACGATATGTAATATGAAGATGAATATTGTGATATTAAGTTGTATCATGGTTATACTCAAAGTCAAGATTGTGGTATTCATAATGTGATTATCATCGTATAATGCAATCAGAAGATGAACACTGCGATCTTAAGCCCTGTCATAGTATTATCCAAAAAAAAGTCACAGTGTAATGCAATCAAATGGAAGAACACTACGATGCTATTTAAACTCACGATATATTTTTAAGATGCAATATTTGGTATCATAGGATGACTCTTAGAGGTGATTTTGCTACTTAGATTTATCACATCAGTTCAGTAATCTTTTTATTAGAGATTTAACATAAATGTTAGATGAAATACTATTTAAATATATTTTTGAAAATTCAAGATTACGAATTTATGATTTTAAAATCTAGGGACCAAACAAACCTATAGAACTTGAGACCGAAAGAGCAATTTTCTCATTATTATAGTTAAATTATATCGGTCTTAATGTTTGGGACTAAGTAGAAAATAAGTAAGTTGTTATGTCCTTCCAATTTGTCAGAAGCTCATTCTTGTGTTAAATGTCACTCTATATACAACTTAAATAAAGTGAAATGCAGAATTAATATAACTATATCGAAAGTACATTTTCATATATTCAAAATAATAGTATGATATTTTGTATCAATGCATGCTTTAAACATACATTTGCATAATTTTATTTTTAACTATGTTCAAAAGTTCTCCTATCAATGTAGACTTAGTTGATCTTACTTTTATATATTTTTTACGTTCCTTGATATGACAAAGACAAATATAGTACATGAGTAAGAAAATAAATTTTTTTAACCTTTGACCATATAGGTACAAATTTCTTATATTTGAAAAGGGTGAAATTCAAAATTTTTGTATTGGATTGTACTTATAAAGTTTCACCGCAATTTTTTAAGTATCGTTTCATAGTGATTTTGTTTTTGATTTGTTGTATTTTAAAATTGAGTTTATAAATATAATTTATAGTTTGAAGTGTGTATTATTATTTGTTTTACTATCTATTTTTAAAAAAATATCTTCAAACATTAGACTAAATTCTGAAAACTGAAAAAGTAGTTTTTAAAAATAATTTTTTATTTTTTAAATTTGGTTATGAATTTAAATGTCTTTTTAAGAAACTAAAAACATACCAATAAGATTTGTGAGAAAATAAACCTAATTTTTAAAAATAATAATCTAAAATAGTACCTTTTCTTTTTTTACATTTTAGAAAATTGCACCCTTTTCTTTTTTTGTTGCAAAAGTATTGACATATTTTTGTTATTTCTATATTAACATTGGCGAAAAAACCAACATAACACGATAGAAATATATATATATATATATATATATATATATATATTATTTATTTATTTATTATTATTATTATTATTATTATTTGACATTGCACGATAGAAGGTTAAATACAAATGATAAATAGTATTCCCACACTCTAACACACGTGCAGATATGATTATCTCTAGTTATTATTTGGTTAAAATAATATTTTAGTCCCTGTCGTCTTGGTTCATTTTAGTTTTCGTACTTTGAAAATGTTTATTTTGATTCATGTACTTTAAACCTTGTTTCATTTTAGTTCTTATACTTTTGAAATTGTTCATTTCGATCTCTATACTTTTAAAAAATGATCATTTTAGTCCCTATTTGCAAAATTTTAACACAAATTTTACGATTAACGGAAATTCTTTAGTATAAAGTGATGTTTACATTTCAAAAAAAATATTTATTTTAGTGTGGTGTTGAAATTTTGAAAGAAAAAATGAGATTAAGAATACAGTCGAGGGAGCCAAATAGTCATTTTTTTAAAGTACAGAGACCAAAACGAACATTTTGAAAGTACATAGACTAAAATGAACCAACATTGATAGTACATAGACCAAAACGAACATTTTGAAAGTATAAAGACCAAAATGAACAAAAACCGAAAGTACATAAACTAAACTAGTATTTTAACCTTATTATTTTATTATTACCGAATAAAATTATCACAAGAGTAAATTTTACAACTCTCTCAACTATAAAGATGTGTACCTTCCTTTTAAAAAAAAAGTAATATAGAATTGACAAATGCTCGCACGTGCAAAGCATTTTTGCAGTTTACACTTCTTGAAAAAAAAAACAAGAAGAAGAACACAATAACTTCCCAAATAATTAATATTTTCAATCGACTTCCTCTTCCCATTTCTACCCGAAGAACATTAGCAAGAAAGCCACAAAAATTTGAGGAAAAGACAAAGAAAACATTTATAAAAATAAAAAATAAAAAAAACAGCAGAAAATCAACGAAATAATAATCCACAACATCCTAGTGTCTCTATCATTCGATCACTTACTTCTTCTTCTGTTCTCATTTTGCTTCCTGAAAGTCACCTGCACGCGCACACAACACTCTCAGAAACTGGAATCTTAAACACCAGAAAACAGAGCCGCCGCCGCTGACGGCAGTGACGGCGACGGCGACGGCGGTTGAGTTTCTACCTGAGACATTTCTGGTCGATTTTTTGGCAGAGGAAGACTGAAAAAAGCTTGTCTGTTTCTGCAACGGAGATTTTCCATTTTTAGCTTTATTTATTTTCCTCTCGGAGATATTTAAAAAAAAAATTGAAATTCAGATGCTTTTTAGTTTTTACCTTGCCTTGTTGTTTTCGAGAATGGCTATGTGCGAATTCTTTTACATTCTCTACCAAATCCTCATTTGTGTACGGATTCGTCTCTCTCTGCATACAAAACAGAGAAAAAGTGACGACTCATAAATTATTGAGAACGACACCTACTYACATAAATGATTGAGAAATCAAAATTATTAGCACATTTTTCATTTTAGGCCTAAATTCAATGAACTAACATTGGAAATTAATTGATCAAGATATTAAAAATCTACAGTATCCGGAGATATTGTAATTTATAATGTTTATTAAATTAACCAAACTTTTCATTTGAAAAAAAATGTGAAAGAAAAAAGAATTGGAATAGAATAACGACATTTGTCATATGTGTGAGTGTGTTATTTAATGAAAAACATAAGTTGTAAAAATAAAATTAGAGAATTAAAAATTAAAATAAGGGACCTTGGAAAGGGCAAAAACAGGGGAAGTAGCAGTGTCGTCAAGGGAAGAATGTTGGTTCCGGCGGCCAATTTCGTCTCTTCTCTTAGTCTTGGCCGCCGATTTGCCGCCGTTCCGGCGTGGCACGGGCTGGAAATTATSCTCCTCGAACCCCACTGGTCCGTCTCCGAACCCATTCCGCGGCCCGGACGAGGCGTCGGAAACCATCGACAAGTCGCCCTCCTCCTCCCCTCCGCCGTAATCCGCCACACTCGGCCGGAATCTCTCATCGGAATCCTGGAAATACACCGTCCAGCCCGAGTCGCAGCCGCTATTACAATGCGTGCCCGAAAAATTACTCATTCGAAAGACGAAACGGCGCCGTCGAAGGAGGAGGAAGAAATTCGTTATGTGAAATTTAGAGGGGGGGTGGGTTTATAAATAATATAATTAATGGGATCAATGATTGGGAGATGCGAGCCACCTGGATGGTTAAATGAGAGGTGGCCCCAAAGAATTAATAAACGTTGTCCCATGCGAAAATTATTTTGGTGAATGCTCGCCCTCTGTTTTGTCTTGTCAAAACCAAAACCACCCCTCCCCCTCGCTCCCTTGGCCTTCGTATGYATTTTTGTACTTCTTTTTCTTTTTTTTCTTTTTTTTCCAAACCGTCTCTCACTGTTCATTTTACATGGGGGATTAAAACGTAACAACACAAAAACATGCGTACCGTCTCACAACACTTCGCTATTGATTTTATCTCTATAATTAATGTGCGTATTCGTGTTTGGAATTAGTTTTAAAGTTTTAAATTCTTAAAATGTGGTAAAAGGTGATTTAAAACATTTCAGAGGATTATCAAAAGTGGTTTCAGATTGCAGCTCGAACTCGGCCTCCGGACCGATCAGAATACTTGGGCGGACCTGCACAAAAAGGTGAGCACTCCGACGATCAAGTCAGTATAGGTCGGATTCCCAGTTTAGTTTGAGGTCAGAAATCATCGTACCTGATCGTGGAGTGAAGTCTTCTACTTATGGGTGGTAGTCCCGCTAATCTCGCGACGGTTACACCCGGTAATCTCGGGACCGTCGGTTACACCCGGTAATCTCGGGACCGTCGGTTACACCCGATAATCACGCCGCTGACAGTAGCTCACATCGGCCCCCACCGAGCTTCCCGGTAGGTCGGACCTCGGCCAGGTTCACCTCGGCCCTCATACTTAGTATCTGTCAACGCTAGTGGTGGTGATCTCGGCGGTCCGAGCTGGGGCATGACTCATGGTCACCTTGGGGCACSAATGGCTGTCCTCCACGTGTACAGGGTATTCTTTCCCACAAACACATAGCATTTGAAGCACTTTTTAGAGGAAGCATTTGGCTAATTTTCTCTTTTAAAAAATCAAGTATAATGGAGCAACATGTCTCGTTTTCGAGAGGTATTTGTTGTTACATTTGGTTGGTAGGTTAACTTGATTTTACAAACTTGTAATTGATGTGTTTTGTATGACTTTTAAAGTGTTTATAAATGATTAAAACTGCTTTTATGTTTTTAAGTTATTCAATAAAAGCGATTAAAAGGTTTTTGATGATAAAAATACTAGTCTGAGAAATTTTAGAAATAGATCCAAAAATCATTTGAAGTGTATTTTAGAAGAAGTATTTAGATATTTAAAAATATATATATATATATAAATGGTTTGGTTAAAAATATTTTTTCTTAAAAATAATATCAAATGGACATAAACCAGTAAAATAAAGACTATCTTTCAAGCTACAATACAGTTTTTTCTTATCAACAAACTTATAAATTAAATACAAAAGATATAACTTAAAATTACATTTTAACCACTAATCCGAGCATAACTTTAATTACCTATCTCTAATTAAAATTTTGTAGGTTCAAATGAAACAGCCCTACTAGAAAAATATATTTCAACTTTTATTTTAAAAATCATTCAATTACGCTACTTTTTGTCTCTATTAAGCAATAAAATGAGACTTTTCTTTCATAACTTTTGGATATCATTGTTGAAGCTTCCAACTTCATGCATTTATAGAAAGAAAATTTCACATGGGTTTTGTAACTCCGTGGGTATTCTTGATTTGCTTTCTTTATTTTCTTCTATTTATTGGTATTACATTAAACAATTGTGCCAAAAGAAAAAAATTGATCGAAAAAAAAGAGGAGATATTAGTGCTAAAAAAAACATGGTCTTAGTTTTTAATACACAAAAAACTGTTTGGATCATAAATTTGTTGTTGTTAAATTGACTTTAATTTTGTCATTACGTTCCAATACATGAACAATTTTAATTAAACTACATTACAAAAATTAGAAAATATTGCTAATAAAATTGAAACCAACYATAGAAAGATATTTCGAATAATTTTTAGTAGTTGATTTCAAATTTGCATAAAACGTTTTATTAATGTTTTAATATTTTCAAATATTTTAATTTGTAAGTTTTTTGAAACTATAGGAGTGAGAATTAAGCTAATAGACTAGTAAGTAATAAGATTCAATACTTGTGTTAGCTGTATTTAGCTAAAGTATTTTAAAAACATGATAGATTTTCCGGAAAACTTAATCGAAAAGTTGTCCTCTCTCTACTCTTGAAAACTGTCATCCGATCCAACATAAACGATTTTTTAAAGAATTAAACAATGATTAATTTTACAAAAACAGTAAAAGTAATTTCTTTATTATTATGATCTTTGATAAAAGGAACGATTTTAATCATTGTAAAAACATTTAAACCGCAATCAACATCAATATCAATAATAATTTAATACCAATACCAAGAAATCTCAAATACTTTTGATGCCAGAATGATTTTGATCGTTTTTTTTTTTAATTTTTTATCGTGCGATGTTTATGATTATTTTTTGAATTATTAATTGATAGATATTGAGACAAACAAACAAAAAAATCGTAGAAACTTGGGTGAATTATCTAATTAATCAACAAATTAATAAATAATGAACACTCAAAATAATACGAGAATTTGAAAATATAAATTTACCCAATTGGAGTGGACAGATATATGTAGGTTAGAAGGGGGCCCACTCTATTTTTTTTTTAATTATTGGACTATTTTTAGCATATAGTTACATATTGTACTTTTCTGTTATTTTAWAGAAATAGTTAGTCCACTTCTCAAAATTAATAATAATAATAATAATAAATAAAATTATTAATGGTCACAATTAAAGATAGACGTAGAATTAATATCACGAACTAATTGACATTTGTTTCTAACCAAGATGTCATAAATTCGAATTTTCAGTTTCATTTATTGTGTTAAAAAAAATAATGATAGATTTAGAATTGTCAACAGTAACACATAGTTCGATTAATTAAATATTAGTAACTTCTCTTAAAATACCCTAGTTCAAAATCTCCCGAGTTGTAAACTATAATTCTCACCGTAAATGTACAGTAATAGAATGAATGGTTAAAAATCTCACCTTTTAATATTAATAAAGATCAAAGATGAAATATGAAGCTAAAATTCCCCAACAAAATGCAAACAAATGAGCTCAATGGCTTTATTGGTACACTTAATAATTTACATCCATGATTCCCACCAATTGCTTTCACAACCATGTAAAGATCAACAATCTCATAATAATTCTCAATCATAAAATTGGATTTTTTTTTATACTTTCAATTTCGATTTTATCAATTTCACAATTTATTAGAGTTTAAAATTCAACGGATGAAATTAAAGATTTAAAATTAATTTTGACCAACCAACCCAATAAATATATATATATATATATATATATATATAGATAAAGGTCAAATACAAAATAAAAAAATAAAAATATATATATTAAGACTAAAGTATGATGTGAAAACTAAAAGTTAATCTGCGACGATTTTTGAAACGGTAAAAAGTACTGAAAAATATTTTTCAAACACTTAAAATGTTGCTAGGAGAAATACTTAATCAGTAGTGATACCTAGAAAAAACATATTTTTTTTAAAGACATCCTAAACTTACCTTAAAGCTAAAACTAATAAATGATAGAATACGATAATACTTTCTAAAAACATCTCCTAAAAAAATTGTATATTAGAAATAGGAGTATTCATATATATTGAATTAGCTAGGTTATGTTGGCTTAAATTCAAGTATTTAAGTTAAAATTTTGTTATAATCCAAATTATTATAGGTTAGGTTATAGACTCAACTAACCTGACTTTGTGAGCAAGAGACTTAAATTCAAGATAAATTATTTATATTGCTTAATATTTTCCCCCTTTAGTTATCTCCAACATTAAAAAAAAAAACATATATATTATGAAATAATGCTAGTCAATCATATCTATAAACCACCCAACATGTAGTCATCATCAAATCTTCATGAAAATAAACAACATTATTATTATTATTATTATTATTATTATTATTATTGAAAAAAATAAACAACATTATTACGGCCATCATTTTCCATATCATGTATTATAGCATTTATCATTTAATATATGACAAAGTACACAAAAATTAAAGAAAAATATTAGATCATAGGTGAAGTGAAAAAGGAAGGAGGCAATTGCCTTGGTTCGTTCTAGATTTTAAAAATTATATTAAAAAAATTAACATTTTCAAAATTTGTTTTTCCAATTTATCTTTGTAAATTTAAAAAATTCAATTAATCTAAAATCTAGAATGCTGCCTCTTATGAAAATATATGTTTCTCCCTATGCACTCGGATAAAAAATAATTATGAAACTGCATTGAATATACCATCTAGATCGATTGTTGTAATACAAATATTATTCGAAGTCGAATCGAACATTACTCAACTAATTAAACATCTAGATTATAAGTTCGAATCATTCTATAAAAAAAATTTATATTAACATCCGTTCATATATTTAAAAATGTATCCTATTTATTTGAGGGTATAGAGATCGAAATAAACTCTAAAACAAGTTTAGGCCCCATCTGATAACGTTTCCATTTCTTGTTTTCAATTTTCGAATCCAAGCATTTTGCAATTAACTATGTTTCTGGTTCTTTTTTTAACATTCTCAAAATTATATGGAAATTTTAGAAACAATTAAGGTAAGTTTGTTGTTTCTTGTTCTCGATCCTTTCCAATTTGTTCCAAAACATGAATAAAAATATTGTTTTATCGTACTTAAATTAATGGATCAAATGTTGGGATCATGCAATTAATTTTTCTCTATTGAAAAAATGAAGAAACATTTGGAAGTCGGCAAAATACAATTAATTTATAAAATAAACTGTTTATTCAAAATATATATTCAGTTGGATCGAGGTCTCCCTGTGGCATCTGAGATCTGGTGGTGTGATACATCAGAGTCATCCAATAATTGAATTCCTCCTGTGGATTCTTTTCTCTCCTTCTTCCTTTTA